TCGCGCGCGAGAGCTCGCCGGATGAGGGATATAACGCGGAGAACGGAAACTCGTCGTCGGCAACGCTGGGCGAAAGGTGCCGCGCGGTCGAGAACCCAGGTAACACTGCTGAGGCCAACAGGTGAGCCGTGCCAGCGGTTTACGGCCAGTGGCGTACCACGCTGGTATCCTGCCGAGGGCAACAGGTGTGACGTCGCGCGGCGCGACGTCAGGACCGTAGCCTGGCGAGGTATCGTTTCGCTCGTAGGCACCGTTCGCGCTCGGCCGCCACTCACGATCTCGAACTCGATAAGATCGAGAAAGGATGTCGTTCGCGGAGGCTGAGCCTTCTGTAGCCCTGAGAGAGGCGGTGGGATGCACGTCCGAAGGCTCTCGTTTCTGCGGGATAAGCGTATACACTTGGGAGAAATCGAATTGACATGGACGACACGTTCTGCAAATGACTATGATCCAGGTGAAACGGCAGTGTTTAGAAAGGAAGAGAGAGAGAGAGAGAGAGAGATGATGCACCTTGAAGTCCTGGATGAGATCAATGATATCCGGAAGTTTGCGTTAGAAAACCTCCGATGACAGATGACAGATTTTCACGAGTCTCCTCGATGAATGTTGCCTGCGCGAACGATTCGGGGACCTTGGCTCATTTACAACTTAAATAAATTAAAAAATGAATTAATAAATTAACGCACATTCGAGATTTTAAAAGAACCGAATTTATTAATTTTGAATTATTGAGGTTTAGGGTTAGTGTTTGATAGTGGAAGGTTTGATTCACCGCGTACTTTGAAAGACTGGAAAACCATTCGTTGCATGCGTTTTAACACTATTAGCCTTTCAAACCTCTTTTTTAATTCAAACATTATTAGCCTTCCATTCTAATTTATTTGCACGAACATCATTTGCTCTTATAGGCTTTATCTCTTTTAATTGAGTTATATATCTTCAGAACTTTAGATATATGTTTAGTTCGTTCATTTAACACACAAGAAGGAGAGAATAAACGCGTGATTCACTCACGACTGTGGTTTGTGCAATTGTGAACAAATAAGTGAATTCGCGCGAATATGAAAGGGGGAACGGTGAAATGAGATGCAGGTGTTGAGTAAAAAAATGGGCACTTGATGATCGCGCACAATAAAGCGTCACAATGAAAATTGGAGTCTCTTGGATCGTCCCTGAATTAAGTTGTAGAGGTTTATGGAAGAGAACCGGTTCCCCCCGGAAGAAACATATGTCGAACAAATGTTCCCGGATAATTCACTGACGCCGCGCCGGTTCATAAATATCGACGATCGTGGTTTCTGCATCCATCCGCATTTCTGCGCGACACGCGCGATTTATGTTTATTCGCTTTGTAGAAGAGCAATAAGTTCTGCTCTTCTCTCGCGGCACGCCACGCTACCTCGCGAGATCTCGCGATCATAAATATTGCGAGTGCAAAACCGATTGCATCGCGATCGACTCGGAAATCGTACTCGAATACGTTGCAAATATCGAGTTATTGATTAATTTTATCTAAGAGACTCGCATCTCGAATTCGCGGATGTGAACTTTTACTACGTTGATGCAATGACGCAAGAAATATCGAGTAAGTGATCGGCGTTTATGCGGCAGAGCGCGCATAATGCAAACATAAGATTGTATAACGAAGGTTATGTAACGAAAATTTCTTCCCAACGTAATTTTTAGTCACTTGCAATGGCATTTTTTACTCGATCGTTTACTGATGGATTTATCCTGAATAATACGATATTAATGAGACAAGAAAGGCGACCTTATCTCACGTCATACGCGATAAATACATTTGCAACCGACACGAATAAAAAGATCGGAGCGAGGGGGAGATCCGGTACATATGTTACAATGCACCAGATCAGCCAATCATATCGAATGTAGGTTACATTCGAGCACCTAACACCACACCGCCGCTTCCTTTAGCGGCTTTCCACCTCGTGCGAAGTAAAAGTATCCCTCCGGAGAAGCGTCGCGCGTGGCCGAGCAGTTTTTGCACAATCTTCTTTCTCTCCCTCTCTCTTTTCCTCATTCAAATCATCCGGCTGATCTCCGAAAGCGCTTCCTTGAGCCATCCCGCGTTTACAAATCTCCCGAGCGGTGGATCTTCCGTAATCACCTACACGGTTCCCATATCATTTCTACGAGCGACTTCTATTTTCTGCGGTGATTACAGCATGTAGCGTGACATAATCCGCGTGAGGATCGCCGCTGTTTTGGATACTGTAGTTGATTTTACCACCTGGATACACGTAGCACGGAGGAAAGTAATTTGCTTACTTGGCATATTTTAGACATCGTCATATATGAAATTCTATATAGGTTATTATATGATCAGCAAGAAGATTTCTCAAGCTCCTTATGGTAAAACCAGAGCTACCGCCTTATTTTAGCCGAGATGATAACATATTCAATTTGGATGGATCAGAGAAGGAATTTAGGTGATCGAGGTAGCTGATAGAGATTAAGGAGGAAAGAGAAAATGTGACAGTACACGCATATATATTTACCTGTAAAAATAAAAATTGCGAATATCGCGACGAGAAAAGAGACTGACAATGAGAAAAAATACCTGAAAATTAAACTTCACTTTTATGTATAAACTTTATACCCCACAAATAAGTTTTCAAGTGATTTTTTTCTTCTTGTGTGAGACTATGCGTCGACTATTGTTCAGGATCGAATGGACAGATTAGCTGAACACCTCCGCAGTGTCGCCACGATAAGCTATGCAGAACAAACTGGACGATTTTGCCTCACGGGTGTCGTTGCGCGACGAGTGTCTCTCGTTTCTTTTTTTTGTCTTTTTACGGATCGTTCGACGCAGAAACGTAGGCGCGACACCGCCCGCGTAATAAAGCGCACTCGGCACGATACAATAGAGGCCCGCAGGTGGACGGCGCGGCCGTCGCGGATCGATAAATCGCATTCGCGTTTGCCATTGATCATTAATCGCATCACGCCGTGCCGCACGGGCGAGGCGGAATTCGCTCGATCGCGCTGATCCTCGCAATGTTCTCCGCGAATCATATTGTTCGCCGGCTTGCGCAACTGATAGATCCCGCATGCCTGTCGCATGAACGGTTCACGGCCGGTATTATTCGCGAATGTATCAATTCTGCAGGGAGAGCGCGCGTCATATCGCCGCACCATCCGTGGAGAGACCTACTCTCCAGTGTAGGTAAAAGAAATAGCAAAAAACTGTAATACATTGTAGTTATATTACAGATTTTTAGAAATATTTGTTTGTAATTTAAAAAATAAAAATTCGCTTGATAATTTTAAATTTATTCCAATTTTAAACAAAATCGAAAAGATATATTTATAATTAAAATTGAATTAATGGAAAGCTTGAATATCATTCGAAAATGTAGTAATAAAAAAATGTAGTCATAATGAAAATTCATTAGTAGAAAATATTATTATAAAAATTCATGAAAGTTCACATTTATAGAAAAATTAAAATTATCCTATTATAGCATAAAATTCATTTTTTGATAGGATATATTCGCAGTAACAGTAGATTGAGAAAATAAAAAAGAAATTTTGAAATTTTATGGATCTCTGAAAATATATTTTTTCTTCGTTATTGTGAGTATATCTTAGAAATAAATAAATTTGTTTGAAAAATAAATTAAAAAGATGCACACAAAAGAAACGTTGTGGCTCACTCGCTACTTTTATTATCTTACCGATGAAGTTCGACGAGGAGAGACGTGCTGTTCGTTGACAGATGTCGCCATCGTAGAGAATTCTCCGTGACATAATATTGAATTTTTTGAAGCTACTAATATAGAACTATTACTATACTAATATAGGACTAATTCACTTAGTACGAAGGAGAGAAGGAAAAATTGACGTAATGTCATTACATATATGTAATCGAACCATTACATTGCACACGAGACTTCTTATATAATTATAATTTTATTTTTAATATGAAGTGACATCACACTATTATACATTGTCATTTTATTTTGCACTTGCAATAATAATTATCCTCGGGAAAATAAAATGTTTTATTAATTTTTACGAATTTTATAGCTACACACATAGCGCGTACTTTTGTTGCAATTAATAAATTCGTATGTCGATCGTTATTGCATTTTTTTCGTGCCGTTATTAAACAAATTGTTGTATGCGATATTGTTGTAGTAACAGTTTGTTTTGTATAGCTCAATAACATTGTTTCTGATATGATAGATGTCCTTATGTACAATAGTATGTAGTTGTACTTCCATGAGCTGCGGTGTCCGAGTGGTTAAGGAGTTGGACTCGAAATCCAATGGGCTTTGCCCGCACAGGTTCGAATCCTGTCCGCAGCGTTCTTTTTTTTTCCTCGCACAAATACTTTTTCTTATTCCCCCATATAATTTACAATCTCGGTAATAATAAAATAAAAAATTTTCAATCAAACACGATAAAAGCGTGATTTTTTTATATATAAATGTATACACGTGCCGTTGCTGTTTTTCTTTTCTATAATTTCATTCACTGTTCCCTCAGCCGATCTGTTTCGCACTCCAATTCATCTGAATTAAATTTGTGTCCTCATAAAAAAATCGAAATGTCTTCTATACTATATTTGTCGTTGTCTCGAGAACAGTGCCGTAATTTTCCTCGTCGAAATATAACCTCTCGAGGATCACAAGAGAGCTTCTTCGTGCTCTTAATAGTTAATAGTAATTTCTCCCTTCTAATTTCTCTCAATCCCCCTGAGACCCGTCGCATGAAAATCGAATGCCTCGAGTATCTTTACTAAGCGACATCGTACGTACCAAACGATCAAAGCTAATGGCATTATTTATTACAAAGATAATGATATCCGTAAGAGACCATGCGTTGTGTCTATTTTGGTCATTACGACCAAAACGAGACTTTACGTCGTGATTCCTCGGGGAAGGAGAGATGCGGCCGAAGAACATACATAAGTTGCACGCTATCTCAATTGACCTGTGGCTCCACCCTCCCTCGATACTCCGCTCGGTTGTCTGCCTATGTATAGACTGACCCTCATGTCGGTTTTCTTTCACTTGACTACGAACCACCGTTCATCGAGGATGATCCAAAACAGCGCGCTTGTCACCGCGGCCGTTCTGATCCTGGCCTACGCGACTCACGCGGAAGTCGTGCAATGGACTTCGTGTCCCACTCGTGAGTATCCTCCGTGTCGCGATCGCGATACGAGCCTGCGATCTCCGTGTTGCTAATTAACGGGAAGTCCGAAAGAGGCTATTTCGCGACAGGCCTCGTAACAGCGTTAAAAGTGACAGCACGTTTGCTCGTTCGCGATGACTCGTTCGTCGGCGACTCTCCACGGGATTTCCGCGATCAACGAAAATCGGAGAGAAGTGGACTGCTAAGACGCGAAAGTCGCTGGAATTGTGCGTTTCCAAATTTCCACGGTTCATAGGTCATGCTTCATGACGATTTCTGTTTAGCGTGATTACGACGTATCAGTCGCGCGCGTAAATAAGTTCGGGTGTATCTGAAGCCGGACAATCGCTCAACCGGTTTTTTATTTAAGTAGTTTTTATTTGCAATCTCGATATCGCGCGTGTCGCGCTGGTGAGGTTATCTGTGAGGCGAAGATGAAACGTTATCGTGAAGTATACTGTTTGTTAACTTCAATGGCGATCCTTTGACTCTACGATTCCTCGAGTTTTCAAACTAGGAAAACCAGTTTTATTTTCGAGAACTAACAGATTTTTCGTAAGAATTTTTTGTGCTTTTGAAACAACGATTTATTCGCTAATATATCTGAAATTAACACGCTTAAAAGGTCTCAGGTTTGCAAAGATATTGTCCCGGAGTAAGTGGTTTTCAATACTCGAATATTCTCGCCTTGTGTCTGGTTCTTATTGGCCTTATTTTCAACTTTGATTCTCGCAGAGTTCGCGTGAAATCGATTTTATCAAGTCTATATAGTATACAGATTTTGAAAAATGCGTTTCCTTCGCAGGCAGTAGACGAAATGTTCAGTTGAACAAGATTAATTCGCTTATCGTAGGCTTATCGTAGGATTTGTACAGAGAACAAAAGGAAATTCCTATTTGGAAAATATCTCTATTTCTAACGTGTTAGTTTTCAAATGAGATTACATAACGTTAAATGCAGATGGGTTACTTGCAAGGATATATTTTATATGATTAAATCATTTATATGATTTAATTAGAAAAACCTGTGTTTTTATTTTTGAAAAGTAATTTTCATTAATGGAAAGCACAAAACACTGGATTGAGAATATGATGTTTCTAAATATCCCAGATTTTCCTATGTCCACTTAAAACTAATATATTCAAATTATCAATCATTGTTTCATATATAAGCAACAATACGTAATTTTGTTAGAAGAATTTTATCGCCTTGAATTTAAACAATTATTATTTTGTTGAATTGAATATAAAAGTAATTTATTTTCCTTTAATGTTATGTGATCTCATTTGAAGATTGATATATCAGAAATAAAGATGTTTTTCAAACAAAAATATCGTTTTTTCGTGTATATTTAAAGAATGCATTTTTTTGTTAATTTATCCGATATTATCGCGGGCGTAGCCCTAAACTACATATGATTGTTCTAACTGTTTCAAACGATAAACGAATTATAAACGTGTGTGTAGCAAGCGAGGAAGAAAGACGAAGATTGAAGCAATGGTGTCTCTTCCTAAGCAAACAATGGAGGGAACTACTAGACCAGAATAGCGTCGTTTCAATCTCTGTCTTTCTCTTTCACTTGCTAGCCATGTGTTTTACATGTGTCGAAACATGGACTATGATTCATCCACAAGTGGTCAAAGTTCTAATATTACAGTTTAAGCGTTCGTTCAAATATCAAGGAATCTAATCTTTTCTTTAATCTTTTACGTGTTATTTAATTTTTTCTTTTTTACACGGCAGGCAATTGAAAGGAATATTTTGAACTCACAGAAAATAAACTCTTAGCATTTTTTTTAGTGATAAAGATAGTAAGAAGTCTATTTTATGCTTTTATCTTCAGCTATACTTCAGATATGTACATTTATGCTTTTATCTTCAGTTTTATCTTCAGAATAATACGCGCACAAAATCCGGTCAACGATATGGACAATTGAAGAACATTTTCTCTCATAAATACGCGTTCGGTTCTTATTTAACCGACAACAGACATAAATATCTGGATATATATCGTAGAGTGAGGTCTGCTTGGAATATATCGCAGAAAACGGGACAGAGAAGCACATAAAATGATAAGGTTGTACAAGAAGTTAAAAAAAACATTACGTCGCTTGATAAACAAAAAGTTCTCAGTCAGTTACAACAATAACAGACATCAAAGTTCCTCGATAAGCGTTCGATGTGAGCGTAAGTTGTTGCGGGTCAGAAATACAGGATGACATGTGAGTGTTTAACGCTTGTGCAAAAAGGGATAAGTAGCAGTTTCAATATTTCGCGCAAAACGCACAGTGTGAAACAAAGCTGCGAGACGTCGATGGTTTCTCGTCGGGGCGGGATACGATTTGGTCAATTATGCGTGCAACTGTTTTTATTGTTGTCGTTATTATTATCAATATTATATTCGTATTGTTATTACTGCTCGCCGGGAATTTTTCTCGCGTTTTTATCACCGAGATTCGCCGACCCGTGGAAAACAATTCGGATGTACTCATAATCTCGCGGAAACGAGAAGGAGAAAGCAAGAGAGAAGGGGGAGAGAGAGAGAGTGTGTGTGTGTATGTATCGTGGTATTTCATAAAGCTTGTGCTTCATTTGAAGCGAGAGAACTTCGTCGGATCGCCTATAGTTTCGAACTGCAGTTTTACGTCAATCCCTACGTAGTTGTGTCGTCGATGACACGTGTCACGTCGTCGTTTGCTGATATTTTTTCGGCTAAAGTTTACGAGCTCAAGTTTATGTTTATCTTCTCATCACTTCTTGCAAAATATTTCAGGAAGTAGATCTCGCTGACTTTCATTATGGAATTGCGAAAGCGCATCGCGATAATCGACGAGAGTGTAATGCATCGTTGGAAAAATGAAAAATCGATACGGAGCTGTTGATAAACAGATAAAAAAGATTAAAGAACGCATTTACATATATATATATATATATATATATATATATATATATATATATATATGTATATAAACACATGTATATGCACACACACACACACACACACACACACACACACACACACACACACACACACACACACACACACACACACACACACACACACACACACACACACACACACACACACACACACACACACACACACACACACACACACACACACACACACACACACACACACACACACACACACACACACACACACACACACACACACACACACACACACACACACACACACACACACACACACACACACACACACACACACACACACACACACACACACACACACACACACACACACACACACACACACACACACACACACACACACACACACACACACACACACACACACACACACACACACACACACACACACACACACACACACACACACACACACACACACACACACACACACACACACACACACACACACACACACACACACACACACACACACACACACACACACACACACACACACACACACACACACACACACACACACACACACACACACACACACACACACACACACACACACACACACACACACACACACACACACACACACACACACACACACACACACACACACACACACACACACACACATTAATTTATTAACATACTAATATATATATAAACACATTAATTTATTAATACTAATATATCGATGAATTAGCAAACATATTTGTAATTTAACTCGCGAGTAGGAGATCCTCTCTATATAACGTTAAATAATTTTATTTCACGTGAAAAGTATTGTACACAATGCTAATTAAAAATTCTTCTCATTTTAATCGTACTTATCTGCGATTATATGCGATTATCAATCAAAGAGATGATGCTAATTTCCTACCACAAGTGTCGTGTAAGACAGAAAATCCTCGCTGTTATTTTAATTAACTAGAATGTTCGTAAACGTTGGATGAATCGGGTAAATCGGGCGATTCGACAAAAGAGTCGAGAAGCAAAGCAATCGATTGTTCCTTCTTCTCGGTGCTTCTTATTCGTCGGCGATTTCATCGATATGCAAATGTGAGCTATTTTTGGTACGCCAATTCTTTACAGAGGCATGATCCATATGTTTCAGCTGAAAATGGCGCAGTTTCAAGTTGCGTCATACACGAGGTGAACGTGGATCCCTGCAACGAGGCTGTGCAGAGAAAGCCCTGTGCCTTGAAGAGGGGTCGCAATGCGAGTATCAGCTTCGACTACACCGCCGGTGAGTATCGTCGAGGTGTTTCGATGCATCCGATTCGTATATCCCAATGACGACGAATTGTCGCAAAAACAGCATGTAACAATGAAGAAAAAAAATGTTTGGTATTTGTAACTATAATACATAGAGAAATAATTATTATGCTTGAGAAAAGTATTTTTTTTTAATTAAATTCTATAATGTCAGTAATAATAACCTTATATACTGTTATGTTACTATTACCATCAATGTGTTAGGACAAAAATAATTATAATTTAGATCATTTTCTTCCTCGGTGCGGATACTTTTGTACTTTGCGTTCGAAATAAGGCGCATTATTCATTCACGCAAGAACGTTTGTATTCAACGTTTTGTATTCAACTCGAGGTGTCAATTTGAATCTAGTTTAAACTAGTTTAAATCAAACAATAAGTAGAGATAATTAGATTTTCCCTTCGCAAAAAAAGCATCTTCTTTCTTTGAAGAACGAAGACAAATTTCAGCGTTTATGTTATTTGTGTTTGTGTGCGACTCGTCAAGCGTTCGTATCGCGTGTTCAATTTCGACATCTAATGTGGCGATTTATCGACAATGCATACGCTTCATTCCAGACTTCACTGGCGACACGTTGTCCAGTAGAGCATACTGGGCCTCTGAAATCATGGATTTGCCATTCCTGGGCATGCCACTCGACGCCTGTACGTCTACTGTTTGTCCAGTCGTGCCCGGCCAAAGACAACAATACTCAGTATTATTGCCAATCTCGAAAAAGTTTCCCGCGGTGAGTAATTCCTCGCCCTGCACTCTAGTCTCGCTGCGAGTATCGATGATCTCGTGTTACATTTGCAATAATAGACGCTCAATGTTACACGTTCATATCATCGCGTTTGTTTTTCTTTACACTTTTGTTATTTTATTTTATTTAGATACTTTCATTTTTTTCGGATATATTGTTCGTAAGAGCGTTGGTCGTAATCTTTTCTGTCGAAACATAGTTATATTTTGAGATTAAAGAAAAACGTAGAGACGTAAAAAAAGTATAGATGTAAAACACACATCATATATTAAGATAAATTACATAAAAAGTATAAAGATTAATTATAAATTAAATATGTAACATAGAGCAATTTTTATTGTGTAAGAGTGTATATATATATACATATATATATTTAACTAAGCAAATTGCGACCTCTCTTAAGATATCATTTAAAACGTTTTTCTTTTATTGCAGCGAACATACGATCTAAAGTGGAAGTTGTGGAACGCGGAGGAGCAAGAATGCTGTTTCATGTTTGCTATTAAATTAGTGAAATGAAATTATTCTTAAATCCAGCACGTCATTCATCGCGATGATTATAATTTGCTGATCGATAATTTAACAAAATAAACGATGTATTCATAACAATAATACTGTTTCCCTATCATTATTTATGCCTTTGTTATCGTATCGTGTATACGATAAATTTTAATGATAACTAACAAACAATGCTCATTAAAAATAACATAATTAATTAGTGACTACACGAATTACTGGTGAATTTGCGGAAATGGTGCTCTGGAAAAGGCGCGGTGAATTGTAACCTTTGTTCGCACTTTGCATTTACATAGCTCATTGTTGTGTTTCTCTCTGAGAATACTGTTATATTTTCTTACGCGTATCATCGTTAAAAAGCAGATTAACATTCAGTGGAGAAAGAAACCTGAATCAATACAATGTAACACAATATAATTATTTTTGTTGAATTGCAGCGATTTATTATAACGGTTAAGTATTGCGCGATAGAAACGGAATATTATCTCTTCTCCCTTAAAAGTAAGTCCATTTTTATACTGGTCCAGAGAATGTCACCGATACCTTGAACGTTTCAAGAGGAAGGCGTTCGTACTCGAAATGTCATCAGTGAAATCTATAGATATAAATTGATCTCGCCACTTTTAATCTCATTTACAGCATTTGTGAAATGATGGATTTATGAGAATCTATTAGAGTCTTGTGTCGTAAAAAATATTTCGTTCGAAAATATTGATGAAACTATATCACTATAAAATAAATGAATATCGAGATAATTAAAACTAATATTATTTGAGATCGAGAATATCGAGATAATTAAAACTAATATTACTTGTTTATTTAAAAAAAATATATATATATTACTTTGTACATAATATATATTATAATCCGCAACACACGCACACACATAAATTAAGGAATAATTGTCTTCAATATGTGTGGGCTATAACTCTATCTACGAAAAAAAATAATAAATAAAATAAATAATATCACCCTCACTATTAAGGGAAAACCACGTTTGGTTGGAATCATATTTTCAATTTTATAAAAAACAAAATTAACGATACGATGGTTTTTTATTAAAACTTGCTTCTATCCGCTTGTTAACGGGTACGAAGCGCCCGTCGTAAATAACAATTCGAGAAAACTGTTGTTTTTGTGAAAGCAGCTTTGATGCCGCCACCGCGTGATCCGGGCTCCGCATCCTTGACAGACGTAATACGAGAGTTCGACGATCGTTCGCGCGGCCACGTTGACACACAAGGAGCAATGTGAAGACCCACATCGTGGCGCGGCCTCAGATAGCCAATCAAAGACGAGCCCGCTAGAAAAATAATTGGCCACAATTGTTAAATTGTGCATTTCCTGATAAAAGTGGCCGGCCCGTCCGGAAGACAGTCCCGCCGTCGATTCTGTCGAAATTTACAATCCGCGCCGGTCGACCACGCGATCGCGCGGGACAGACAGAGACGGCACATTTCGCTCGTTTCTTTGTATGCCGCCTTAAATACAGTGTACTTCAATTATCTCCTCCACGCGGCGAAAGAAGAATATGGGTCACGTATTATCGGACATATAACTGAGAAAAGAAAAATCCCTTTCTTTCCACTGGTGGCCGATTGAATTTACCGATCGCGCGTGTACGCACGAATTATTCTTATCAATTTTTATTAGGTTTATATTGTCCCTTTAATCGCGCCCGATGTTTGTAAATCCGACTGTCGCAATGGGAATCGACGCAATGGGTATCGGTACTATTATTTATCTTCATGCCGCGCCCATGCACATCCACACGCGGCGCCTGCGATAATTGCATTTGCAGCTTGCACACGGTCAGATTAGGCTACGACTGGCTGGACGACTGGGCTCGATTAAGTCAGAGGCGTTGAGACATGATGGTAATATTTGTGTACACGTGTCGCGCTCGACGTTTTATCACGAAATAAAAAATCGCGTAAATATTAAGAGCTGCCTTCAACTCGATATCTTGCTCTTTTTTTAACTTAACTTTCCAACATTTGCAAATAGGGTTGCGATGAGGTTAATTGATAAAGGAATTGATCTTTCTTACTCTGCATCTCAAATAAGCGATGAACAATTGGCTATAATTATGCAAGAATAACCCCACAAAATTGTAGGCTCCAAACTTTATGAGTATTTTTATTAAGAAAACTCATTCATTAAAAAACAATTTTTATTTCCTACCAATTGCGCTATTTTTTATTAGTTGCAGATTTCTCAAGAAAAAGAGAGAGAAAGAGAGAGAAATATTACTGCTTCGTAATACATCAGACGTATATAATAATAATTATAATTTTAATTTTTATAATCTTGTTTCATAAAAATCACATTGATTTTTTCGTATCGATTTCAGAAAAATACGAAACGTTTTAAAATAATTAGTCAGTGGAGGCGTCATACCGATCGAATTGCATGATATTTGGCAGAGTTCCGAGATCAAAATCTCTAGATTTCGTATTACGTTGAAGAGATCGCATCACAGAACTATGAATTAACGCAAGTCGTTCAATTTTCAGAGTGCCTCGCTTTGACGGGCCTGTATTTTTTAAAGCTTGAATATCCTTGAAGAAAAAAATATTGTTTGACTTTTTAAACGATCGCGAAGAGAGAGAGAGAGAGAGAGAGAGAGAGAGAGAGAGAGAGAG